AAAAGCCCCAACTCCAAGAATGTCACATCAATCCATCAGTTATAGACATATTTACTGTAGACATACAGCAAATAAATCAATTCCATTTAAAGTCAGAATTTCTGGATTGACCAGCTACTTTCATTTTCAACTATAAAACTGAGCTAGTATTGAAACAGTCTAAGTATATTCTGTGTTAAGGGGCTAGATGAGCCATTTGAGCCTTATTACAATAGTCTTTGAATCAGTAATCTTTAAAATACATCCATCTTCAGGCATACAAAGCATATCCTTTTAAGAATCAGTTTAGGGAGGAAACCAGCAATACTCTTATGCTGCTGAACACCAAGAATTCATTAAATTGGACATACATTTGAAGTAGTCTTAAGTGGATTCATTTAGGGTTCAGTTTCCATCTAAATTATACTTACATGGAAATTAGCACCAGAGAAATTTCCAGTAAGTATGTTCAGGAGTGAAGGTTATTCTTTGTCCATATAAAATGAGTATTTTCTCCTAAGTGATACCTCTCCATTTACTTAGTGCTCAGTAAGTAGGGGAATATATTGCCATGTTGAACTATAATCAAATTTATGCTCAAATTCTAGTTCAATCACTATTTCCTTTAGTAGATGTTTAAAAAAGACCAACTTTGTCTTATATAAAAAGAGCAAAGCTGTTGTTAAACAGGGCTGGCTTTCCACATGTTTTTACATCACAGAAGGAATTTTACCCAGGTAGTTCAGTGTTATGACATGTCATTGCCTCATCTAACTGACATAATAATGTAGCTCAATATCTGATACAGGAGCTAAGCCACAATAGTAAAGGCTGGAATCTGTGGCAGCACAATTCTGTTGAAACTACAGCTTGATCTTCCAGAATTAACATTTAAGAATCCTAAACAAACCAAGATTCTAAAAGCATTGTTTCTTATCCATATAAGGGAATCCTCTAAATAATGGATTTGGGGGAAAGCTTTGTATTTCCCTATCTATCTTTTAATTTCCTGCCACGCTGCTGTGCTGTTATTCAAACCAATAATTGTGTAAAAATGGAATCTTGAATAGCTCATTTCATAATGCAAACATTATTTATCTGTTAGCCCTCAAGACTATGTATGACAGTATTATTAATTAAGCCTTGCCCTATTTTGCTGTAATTTACAGTTCCCAATTCTCTTGTGGGCAATTCTAGTCCGAGACAAGAACTTCATATTCAAGTGTTTTGAATACACCTGAATTTTACTCAAAACACTTGAAGGGGAACTATTATTTTCTGTCCAGTTTATGCTTCCTTATGCAGCAGCTTATCAATTCCCCCACCCCATTAAATTGACTGTATCGCACAAAGCACCTTGAGATCTCATGATGTGCACCAATTATAAAATTTTATAGCCAGAATAGCATCACCAATTAAAAAAGGGGGAACGGGATGTTTCCATATGAAATGCTACCACCGGAGGCACAGATGGAGACATTAATTTCAGCTTTTGTGAAATATTCCCCACAGTATTAAATAATTACTTAAAATGAGGAAAAATCACAAATGTAGCATTCCTTAAATGCTATCTGATGCTCATGCAGATCCCATTTATGAAAACTTTTACGGAATTAACCAAGCTGGGAGGGAGTAATTTGAGCAGCCTCAATAGATTGGCAAACATTTAAAACCCATTACAGCCTGCATGCATCAGTAGGAGTCACTTCATGATGGTGACATGGAAGAGAACAGCAGCAAAATAAATGAATAAAAACCAAAGTGGTCTGAACAGAAATGAAGGTTGTGAAATGTAATTAATACCATAAAGATTTTGCTTACCAGGTGGAATTGTGGCTGTTCCCCTCCCTTTGGTGAGGTAATACAAGTAGCTGGATTCCCATTTTTTCCTAATGAGCACTTCTTTCCTAGTACATTGTACAGGAACGGTGGAATGTGGCAAATTAATACAAGACACCCCCCCATTCCCTTTGTGTACATATGGCCAAAGAAAATGAAAATACAACACCCCTCCCCCTTTTTTTTGTAGTTCCAGCAAGTGTCAATGACACTAAATATTTGGGATCCAGTGGTAGCATTTCATCTTAACAGTTAAATTTGACAAAAAGTAGAAAACATGCTTCCCTGACCCATATCCCATTTCAAAGATGAAGAAGGGGAAGACACAAAAAAAGGTTGTTGGTCTATCACAAATATAGCTACTTAATAAATTTGTCACAAAACAAGTATCACAAACATGTAGGTATCACAAAAACCCAAAGTTTTCATGTGATGTTGAAACCTTTAAAAAAAAAAATAACTCCGTGGATTTATGATAATACTTTGCACTTCTAGCAAGCTGCACCTAGAGATTTCCCAATGAAGCAGTAGCGGAAGTTTGTTAAATCATTTTGGAAAAGTGACAAAACGGTTAGCCAGTTCTGCCCTCCCCAACTGCTTGCTCTGGGCGCCAAACATAAGGAAGTGAAGGGGAGGAGCTAGCTACAAGCTGCTTACATCAGCTCTTGAAAGCCTCGTGCGTTCTTGTATAGGAGAGAAGGCTCCGCCATTTTAGAAGCATAGGCGATTAAGGAAATAAAAGCCTTCAGGATCTAATGAGGAAACTATATAGCAACACAACCCGATCACATGCACAAATTCTATCATTTTATATCAGTTCTACCAACTAGAACCTATTTAACACAGTTCAAGAAAGGGGATCCCTTGTTTGGTTGAGTGCCAGAGACTCAAGAACCTCTTTCACCAGCCCCCTCCTGTTTTTTCAGTAGATGAAGTAGACAAAATAAAAATGGAAACATCCTGTAAAGGAAAATCATAATGCTGCTAGTCAGGGACAGAAAGATTAAAAATAAACACTGCCATACTGCAGCAAGGGGAATTGAGAAAAATAGATGAAAACATTTTAAAAGCAAATTAAGATCTCATTTGAATCAAATTGGTTTCTATTTTTCTATTACAGTTCTCTTTAAAAAAGTATCAAGTTTAAAATGACTTTCCAAACTCATTTTGCAATCTTTATTTCTAGATTGCTTTTTCATATTACAAGCCTACATATACAATAGAAAACCTTAACGCTTTAAAAACACAACCCCCTTAATAAGATATTAGAAATATAGGTGCTGACACAAACCCATCCTTTTAAAAAAAAAATGACTCCATCTGGCTGTTATTGCTTTCTTTGTCCCCACTCTTGCCCTGCAATCTTTATGTACAGATTGCTTATTTAATTCAAGCACTTCTTGTCTCCCACACAAAGAAGCAGCACTTTATAGTTCAGTCACCACCATCTGTTATGTGGGAGCTCATTAACCCTTGACAGTCCTGGAGACGATGGATTTTCTAAGAGACCAACGTGCTCCTTATACATTTTTGGTGGCAAAATGCCTGCGTCTTAAGGGTTAACACCTCAAACAAAACCCACTTTCCCACAATTTTTTTGGTCTTTTTCTTCGTGCCATTAGCTCACTTCGACACGGATGAATTTTTTTTTTTTTTTTTTGGTCAGCTGGTTGAAAATGCGACACTTACTATCCAATTAATTTTCTCGTCGACAGCGCCTCAAGGTTTAGCTTTTTTGGATAAAGCTGTGTTTTTAAAGAAAAAAAATGAATTTGGCTTTGCTCATTTTAAAAAAAAAAAAAAGCAACCTTTTGCAATAAAAAGTTGCTTGATTAAAAAAAAGCATCAGGGAAAGTTGTTGCTAAATATTAATTTTGGTTTTTATGTTTTTAGTGGCAGTTGTTCTCCTTCAGATCATAAAGAATTTTAACAGCTTCCCAATACAGACGATCAGAAATGTAGATGGCTTTTTTGTGTCGTCTCAGAGGCTCAACTGTGGGGCAATTTTTCTTTGTTTCACGATGTTCAACGGTGTCTCAAGATCAAAGGAAACCTATAAAATGAAGAAATAATTACCATTAATTTCCCAAAAAAATTTAACTTTTAAAAGCAGATAAAATATAGCATTTGGCTACAAATTACGTTTCTATCGGGTTCAAAGAACCAGAAGAGAGGAAATAATTTATCGGATGCTAATTTAACGTTTTGACAGCTCATTTTTGAATGGCTTGGGGTTTTTTTTTTTGTTGTTTGTTAGGGAGAAATGAGTTTAGGGCTTTCTTGAAGGTTCAAATTACCTTCATTATAGCCTAAGGAAAGAATTAGGATTTGCAAATGTCAATAACACTATATTGGGGGGGAAGGAAGACAGGAAATCAAATTATCAGACCGTAATGCCCTTTTGTCCCCCTCCCAAGCCGCTCCCATAATAACGTTGCCAGAAACACAGTACTCACCTTTAAACAGACCCCAGAATGGCCGATGGGAGCGCGCGCGGAGCCTTTTATATGGCGGCACTCCCTCCGCTCAACGCCTCCTCCCACCGTCGTACGCGGCGTCCAAAGAACAAAGCCTTGGCTGCCTGCCCCGCCCAACTGGGCCTCCCGTTTGCCTAAATACGGGATAAAATTTATATCGACGCACACGGTTCGAATTCAATTTTGAAAAGCAGTTCAACGGTCTGCTAAAAATTAAAAAATAACCTGGATTAAGCTCGTGACGCAGTTAGGAAACCGGGAACGCGCATGCGCAAACGGGTGCCAAGGCTTTCTGCGTAAACTTGCGTGCACGCGCGCGGCCACGGGTTTTCCCCGGCCCGTGGAGGCTGGGAACCAGACAGCGAGATAGTCTCCGGAACTGGGCATGCGCGTGGTTTGAACGCCTGAACGCGGAGCCTCCTCCCGAGAGTTAAACAATTGTGCTCATGCGCAGTAAGGACCCAACGCCGCTGGCTTTGTTGGCTTCCGGTGGGAGGTTTATTGTAGGAGAGGGAAGGGCAATTGGGGCGAATCGACCGTGACAAAACATACCGAAGCAAAAAAATAGAAATCTTTTTAAAATTTGTGGTGAGGCTTGTTTGCAATACATGTGTGATCTCTTCTCCTGGAATTAACTGGAGATAATAGCTAACTAAAATGACCTGTCCTTGAAATCGGGAGGAAATGCCCGAGGCTTGCTCAAGGTGATCTTGGGGGGAGGGGGAGCGCAGAGGCGCATGCGCAAAGGTATTTGTGCACCGCGCAAGATGGCGGCCCCCAGTCAAGCCATGTTGCTGTGTGGGAACATGGCCTCTTTAGCCGCCCGTGTGGCTTTTAATAGGTCTTGTGGGCTACGGGTAAGAGGACGCTTGTGTTTTTCAATAGATTATTATGTGGTAGATTAACTTTTTTAAAAAGCAGCCTAGTTGTTTTTTCCAAAAAATCCACGGTGACTTTTTATTTTGCATTATCGTTAGTTTAACCAGAGGATTTAGCCATCCTTATCTCCTAATATAAATTATATGAAAGGTTCTCTAAACATTACTCGTGAGATAGTAAATATAGTCCTGTATATCTCGCATAACGGTTTAGTTATAGGATTCCCCAAGGTGATTAATATGGACCATCAAGGGTCGACGTTGTTATTCGTAGTTATTAAGCACGTTAATAAGCTATTCAAGTAGCAATTTGGCTCCTATTAAAGTAGCATTCAATTATTTTCAGATCATAAATATTTAGAGGGCCGATGAATAGTCTGAAACTTCAGGAAGGGATCAGTGAGCTGAAGAGTTTGGAGGATCCCCGTTTATTTATTTTTATTTTATTTGGTTTGTCAATTGCTTACAAGATAATAGGTATAAGTAAAAACATAGTTATGAATACATGGATACATATAAGAAAAATAAAAGAAACAATAGGACAGGGGCGGTAGGCACGTTGGTGCGCTTATGCATGCCCCCTACAAACCTCTTAGGAAAGGGATGAGTTTAGACTATGTGCATTCATATTTCTAAAGCCTCTTGATTTTCTTTCTTCCCTTTTCCCATAATTGGTCATTCCCCTTTCTTTAAAAGAGCTGTAATGTTCACTGCTTGTTTTCTGTTCAATAAGAATAAATGTTCTAGTGTTCATGCTAGAACAGACATATTGGCTATGTGTGCTGTTTGCTTTGTTCCCAGAGTCTACATTTTTAAATTGTCTAGATTCTTAAATATGCACATGTTCCATAGTATAATAGAGAAATCTTGGCTCCATAATTACAGCATAAATTTCCTCCATTGTCCTTTTGAATGGCAAGTTGGGAAGCTGGGGTCCTCAGAGGATTGTTTCAAACTGGCCTTTGGGTCTGGGATTCTTGTCTTATTGTAATATTGCTGTTGATAATTCTCACTTGTATCACTATCTTCTAGGGCAGGGATTCCCATCCTTTTCTATACCCCACACCCCTAGAATGTTTCTGATATATTCTTGCACCCCTTACAAAAATAAATATTTATGCACATAAACTATAATTTTGAAATTTCTAAACCCAAGTTTTCGCACCACCTGGAAGTTTTCTCACATTCCCCAGCTGGGATCCCCTGTTCTAGGGAAATTCTCAGCTGGCACATCCTCCTCCTCCTCTTCTCTAACCTTAGTGTTTGAGAAAGATAAAGCTCCCACCATCCTCTTGCCATTACTAGCAAATAAAAAATACACTTTATAGTGCCTGGACATGGAGCGTGAGAATAACCTTTGGAGTCAGCCTAGATCACAAATGGTCTGAGTCAAGAGGAGGAATGTGGGTGGAGCAAGAGTCTCAAGGGATCCTCTCTAGTTCTCTGGTCTGGAAAGTAAAGGCAAGAGAGAGAAGACTTTTCAGACTTCTAAGATTTTATCACAGTAACTTTACAATAAGGGTAGGAAATTTTGTTTCCTCTAGGCTACCTTGCAAGGCTGAAAGGCTGGATAGAGTTGAGATGTGTGACTAATAGGATGAAGACTTCTTCAGAGAAAAAAAAGTTTTTTTTAAAAAGAGCAAATCCTTTTCAGCTTAAAATAATCCCATGCAAAACATTCAGTAGCAAAGCAATAACAATATAAAATTGTTTCAATTTCCTATAGAAAAAATGTAAAGGATTGGTCTGTTTCCAATTCAAATGCAACATACCGTATTTCTCCAACAATACGACCTCCCCCAATAGGAAGACCCAGCATGTTTTCTAGGCATAAAATGAAATTAAGCCCCTCCCCCCCAAATTTAGGCATATTTTAAAACATGCAAAATGGGGGGAAGGACGGGGGGACTTGCCGTTAGGAGCGCCCCGTGGGCAGCAATTCCTCGCCACCAGCTGCTCCTAATGGGCGATCATGGCAGAGCGCAGAGAGCTACTCCTGCCAGGCACCTTTGTGGCAGACCCAAGACCTTCAGCGCCCGCCGCTGTTCATTTACCTTCTGCCCATGCCGCCGCCGCGTTTGGAGCTGCCGCTTCCGTGTTTGGAGCACTGCCACTGTTTGGAGCACCGCCGCCATTTGGAGCACCGCCGCCACTCCAAACACGGCGGCAGCTCCAAACGCGGAAGTGGCAGCTCCAAACATGACGGCGGTGCTCCAAATGGTGGCGGCACTCCAAATGGCAGCGGCACTCCAAACACGGAAGTGGCAGCTCCAAACGTGGCGGCGGAATGGGCAGAAGGGAAAGCAACAGTGGCGAGTGCCAAAGGTCTTGGGTGTGCAGCAAAGGTGTTTGGTGGGAGTAGGGAGCTCTTTGCGCTTTGCCATGATCACCCGTTAGGAGCGGCTGGTGGCGAGGCTGCCCGCGGGGCACTCTAGATGAGGATGCAAGGGGGGAATTAAGTCACCCCCAAAAAGACGGCCTAGCCGTTTTTTCGGGGCTCAAAAAAATATAAGCCCGGCCTTATTTTATGAGAAACACGGTAGTTACTGAGCTAGTACAGAGAATAAAACCAGAAACAAAAGATAAGACATAAGCACATACTGTATCTATCTTTTAGAGACAGTTTCCTGAAACAATGAAGGAGGACAGCCTATAATAAGCAAAAATAAAAATCAGGAAGAATCTAGTAGTACCATTTCTGACCACACATTTTATTTAAAGGCTTCCCTTCCAGATTCCTGGGGATTCCAGCTATTTGATTCTGAGACTGTTGAAGAAACTGAATACACTTATTTCTTAGCCTCCATTCCCAACTGCTATACTCATTTCAAAAGGACATTTTTCTATCTAGCAGGAAAGGATTGGTTTGGAGATAATTTCCTTGTATATGTGATCTCAAGTTATGTCTTAGTTCTTTTGAATGTTGACAAACACTGATCATATTATGTACAGTACATCAGGTGATTCCTAATAAGAGAGAGTACAGTATTTGTAGCTCAGGGTTCAACTGTGGAGACTTTGATACTCTGAGCTTGGTTATTTTCTTGCAAATGTTTCATTACCCAACTAGGTAACTGTAAGGGAGTGGATTTCGCTCTCTCTTTAATTACCAGTGGCTTGCCCTATCAAGGAATCCCCAAGAACACTCCCATCAACACTGACAGGGCAAGCCATCAGTATATAAAAAGCAAACAAATCCCACTACCTTCCAACATTGATGTAACCTAGTTGGGTAATGAAACATATGCAAGAAAACAACCAGGCTCAGAGCATCAAGGACCTCATGATTCCTAATAGAGATGTCACTAGTCCCATACTGTTTCCTGGTGGCCAGTGTGGCTGGCTTTCAGTGAATTTGGGGGTGGGTTGTGTGCTCTCTTGCAAATTAATTACTAAGCCATACTGACTTGTACAATTCCATACTTCCTGGATAATAAAGCAATTACAGTGTAGAATCAATCACTCTTAAAGGTGAATAAGAAAAAAAATATTGGTATTGATTAAGGCAACAGAAACCGTAAGTAAGAAGAGACAACTTGGCATCTTGAGTTTTAGTTTTCATAATCCCATTACTGCAAATAGCTAGAAGGTAACCATTGCCTACCCATTGGAGATACTGCTCTTAATTTCTGAATATCTGATTGAAAATGCTTTTTTTAAAAAAAAAAAACTCCTGCTTTTTTACCTATTATGTCACTGCTAGCCAGCTGGTACCTATATTTAGTACTTGCCTTCCCTTGCTTTGTTTCCTAGCATATACCCACAACTTCCCTCCTGCTGCCCGAGCAATTGGCCTTTCGTACATATTGCACAGAGGTCAACCAAGAAGAACCCAAAAAGCCAGATGGTCGTGAGGTAGATTCACGTTACAAAGAAATGCCATGGAAATACTTGGAGAGTGAAGGTATGCATGAATAGAGGTAGAAAGGAAAAGTTTCCATGGGTCTAGAATCTGCTGAAAAATGCAGTTTATCCAATAGGTGTTTTTTTGTGTGTAAATTTAACCAGTTTGGTTACATAACAAATCATGACTGAATAACTGCAGCTTACCATAGTGTGTGAAATAAGTGTGTCTGTGTTTACAAAATGCTAAATGCCTACAGCAACAAAGATGGACAACAAGATTTCTTAATATGTTATAAGTACTCACACAATATGATAGTAAAATAACAGATAGTCCTTGTTGTGCCCTGTCCGGGTACATGACCAGATTTTGGACACTCACCAGTTGGCATTTATAGCCTTTTGCAAGGTCACGTGGCCATGATTTATGACATATTTGCTGAAAACTGTTGTTTTTCACTTAACAGCCATGGCATTTGTTTAAAGATTACAGATTCCTCTAACAACCATAGCGATTCACTTAATGATCACTGCAAAAAAGATAAAATTTGGTCAGTCACGTGATGACCAGCTTTATGACCATCACAAATTAAAACTAATGGGCAGGCTTCTTGACAGTCATAAGTCGAAGACTTACCTTCATGAAAAATAAGAATGAGCAAACAGAAACCATTATAGTTACATATGTTCATTTCTACTTAGCAACAGTATAATTAAAGATCACTGCAAAATTGTACCTTTTCCCTCACCAGAGTTAGTTTCTACAGAACTCTTCAATCTGGAATAGCAACATTATAAATAAGCGGGTTCACATCTAAACCGAAACTCCTCACTTAACCTGAGGTAGGAACCCAAGTACTCATTCTCCTCCTCCGAGAAAAAGAATAATTCATGCTACCTTAATTTTCTTGAGGCAAAAGCAGGAATCAGGATATATAATATCTTATGGGAGTACAAAGCTCATTCACATACAAAGCTCATTAAAGAATGTTTTTAGGATGAGATAATGTGTTAAAGTAGATTGTGCACACAATAGAAAACATGTTTCATTTTGAATCTGGAATGAGCCATTGTAATCTTGAACCATTTTGGATGAGGTTCAGTGTGGGAGAAACAAAAATTACCTTTGGTTAATTCTAGGTTTTACACAAAACAAAATTCAGAAGGATCCTGAATGATTTTATAGGACACATTAGAATACAAATCACTGGCCAATTATCCCATGCATGGAATAATTTATACGTACTATAGAATTTTTTGCACAGTGTCTACATTATAGGTATTTTATGACCTTTCTTGCCATAGCTGTTAAGTGAATCGTTGCAATTGGCAAGTTAGTAATCTGATTGTTAAGGGAATCTGGCTTCCCCATTGACTTTGCTTGTTAGAAGGTCACAAATGGTGATCACATGACCCTGGGACACAGCAACCATCTTAAATGCCTGCCAGGTGCCAAGTGTACGGATTTTGATCAAGTGACCAGCAGCGGTTGTAAGTGTGAAAAACAGCCATAAATCAATCCCTGCTGTTTTAACTTTGAACAGTCACTATAGGAAGAGTTACAAGTCATGGACTACCTGTGATGTGTTTTGTTTGGCTTAGGAAGCCCAGCAATTGTGAGTAAACAGGTAAATGTAGGGTTGTGTCATGTAATAAATCCTCAGGAGGCTTCATTGCTCATGTTTACATGTTTATAAGCTGAAAGCTGCTGTTGAATGCTGTATTCAAAAAAGATGGAGAGATAGACATATAGATGGTCCTGTATGAAGAGCCTTTGCTTTATGGGACAAAAGTTCCACTTTTGTCAATTTTACTCGTTGCAAGTTTGCTTTTCCTTTCTGGAACAATACTTAAAAGAATTTTGAGGTGGTTCCCAAATCTGTTCTGTTTCAGCATATTTTCCTGTGTCCTAGTTTGCCTTCCCAGTTTCCTAGATTGTTTTCATCTTTTCTGGACTGGGCCTATTCATTTCTCCTTGGCTTCCTTCCAGGTGAGACTGGGAAAAGGGAAGACCTATGCCTAGTTCAAAATATAGCAAGGGATACTGCTAATCAGAAGACAGCTGAGCTCTGGGTGGGCAAGTGGTCTTGTTTAGTGTAAAATAATTCCTTCTGTTGCTATAGTGTGCAAGTCACACAGCCAAATTGCCTACTCTCGTATAATTTCCTATTCCCTAATATCAAGGAAACTAGATATATAGGATTACCTATAAAATGGATTCATTTGGCAAACTTGAGCCGTGGTCTTTTCAATAGTGGCCACTCCTTTGTCAATTTTTCAATGCATATAGATAAAGATCACATCAGGTCTGGCTATATATGGGCAAAACTCCATTTCTTTATTGTTATTATTTCCATTAAGAGACGTGAATTTAATGAGCTTGAGTAACTATATATTTCATATCAACCGTCTGGGATAATACCAAAATTAATTGTTAAACAATTTGAGTGTTGATTAGTTAGTCTTGAGAAAGGAGAAGCATGAGAAAGAAAGTTAAAATAACTCACCTTGATTCTGTTTGGTATAAGAGGGGACAAAGGGACACACCGGTGGGCTTTCAAGATTTCTGTTATCATACCCTACAACTATAAAATAGCGTTGCGGGAATCCTTGAGCCATTTTCTGACCTGACTTCAAAGGGTTGACAGTGTATATGACATGGTAACTTATTGCTATATGTATATTGAGCACATTTGTAAAATGTTAGGTACAGGCCATAATTTTATTTTCCTTTCCCTTTTAGAATACATAACTAAATATGGCAACAATCCCGTCTGGTTTGGATACAGGCGTAATTTCAAGGGTCAGGTTCCACCACAGAGAACTCGGAAGATGTGCATTGTGAGTACA